GGGATTGCTATGTGAATATAATCTCAAGACAAGTCACCTAGCCTCCCCACCAACTCCATCTTCTAGCCGGATGGCTACTCTGACACTTTCTGATAGGGAAATTCTGTAGTTGTCCATATAGGTGCCCCTTTCACGGGTCCCATCTCTCTCTTTTTGCTTGTGTCATTTCCCCTACCTCAAAAGATCATTCCTCGCTCCTCCCTATCTAAACCTGACCTTTCATTGAAGGCTTCATATTTCCGGAAAGACTTTCCTAGCCAGCACAGTCCACATTGACACCCCCTTTTCTGAATCCCAGTCGCACTTCCTGTCTTTACCATACAACTGAGCTCTTGATTCAGCTGTAATTACGACACATACAGTGTGCAGGTTTTGGAGTTAGTTAGATAAAACTTGGTTCAAATTTTAGTTCCTTGGAGTGAAGACAAAATTCTGGAACTTGATAATGGTGATAATTGCACAGCATTGTGAATGTGCTTAATACCACGGAATGCTGACGTTTAAATTGGCTAAAATTCTGTTATGTGCATTTTACCACAATTATTTATTTGTTTATTTTTGGAGATGAGGGTCTCCATATGTTGTGCAGGCTGGCCTTGAACTACTGGGCTCAAGCAATCCTCCTACCTCAGCCTCTCCAGTAGCTGAGACCACAGGTACACACCACAGTGTCAGCTGCTAACACAATTTTTTTTTTTTTTTAAGACAGAATCTCACTCTGTCGCCCAGGCTGGAGTGCAGTGGCATGATCTCAGCTCACTACAACTGCCGCCCCCTGGGTTCAAGCAATACTCCTGCCTCAGCCTCCCCACTAGCTGGGGCTACAGGTGCGTGCCACCACACCCAGCTAATTTTTGTATTTTTAGTAGAGATGGGGTTTCACCATGTTGGCCAGGATGGTCTCGATCTCTAGACCTTGTGATCCGCCTGCCTTGGCCTCCCAGAGTGCTGGGATTACAGGCGTGAGCCACCACGCCCGGCCTCTTTCCTCCCCTCTCTACTCCCGGCTCCAATATCAGTCCTGGCAGCAGCAGTGAGGGTCCGAGGCCTCGCCGGGGGTGGGATGGAACCCACCTTCTCCAAAGCTCCCCCTGGGTTGCTGGCAGCCCCGTGTGGCAGGGAAGAGGAACTGCCCGAGCGTCCTTCAGGGAGGAGAGGGGCCAGAAGACAGCAACATGGCGCCCCCAGGTTTCCCACAGGCCCCCTCCTGTAGACCAGCTGGCCCTTCCCTCAGTGACGACTCAAAGTCTAATTTGAAGAGCTCTCTGGGGACATTCCTCTCCCTGGGTGGCGGTATTTTGGGGAGCGGATGTGAACTTCCCTGAAGGGGAGAGGTGTAAATTCCCAGCATCCTGCTACCACCCCCGCCCCCATCACCCTTCATTTCCCCAAGTGCAGGCTGGGGGCAGAGGAGAGGGAAGGGGATTAGGTGCTCGGGCCGGGGAACCGAGACCCAGGGTGTCACCGCTGACAGCAGCGGGCACGCAGAGCTGCAGGGAGACCGAGCCGCGGCCCCGCGGAGCCGACGCTGCCATCTGGCTAGAAGGCCCCACTCTTTCTTTAACCAGAGGTCACAGTCTCACTGCCTACCCAGGAGGCAGCCCCGAGACGCCCCCTACAGCCTGGGTTTTCTCCACCCTGTCCCCGCGCCCACCCCAGCTCTGCCTTCCCCGGCTGCACCGCTTTGTAAAGAGGACGGCTGGTCAGACGGAATCACTGCGCTGGCCTGCGCTGGGTTGGGCCTGGGGACCGGATCCGGGACTTCCGGAGAGCCCCAGGGTCCCCGCGCGCCCATCCACCCGCGGTCGCCTGAGCATTTATGGTAATGTTTGGGTTGGGGCGAGCGGCCGGATCCCCGCCCCCTGCCTCTGCCGGGCGGGACCTCGAGGCAGGCTCCTGGGGAGCTTAGCGCCGGCGCCTTCCCGCCGCGGCCGGGTCCCCTGGGTGGAGACCCTGGGTGCTGGAGGCCTGAGGTCCGGCAGGTGGGCTGGCCCCCGTGCGGAGGCTCCTAAGGCCGGGAAGTACCAGAAGGACAGTCCCCAGTTGGTCTGAGGAGGGGTCCGCGGGGTTGGGGGCTCCAGTGGGAGGGCTGTAATCCCCATCAACCTACCCTAACCACCCACTGCTGCCCACCCAATCCCTGCCTCTGGTTTAAGAGTCCATCATCCCCAGTAAGAGTCCTGATGTATCCACATCCTTTCTCCTTCTCTCTCCCCACTCCCTGGCAGGGAAGGGGCGGAGGGAAGAGGCCAGCAGCTCTCAGGGGAGTCGTCGGAATGCTGGGAGCCTGGGAACAGACCCTGCGGTCCCTGGGAAAGCCAGACTGTGGGAATCCCACCGTCAGCCCCCTCCCCATGATGGGCCACCGGATGTCAGAGACCCCAGTTCCCCAACAGGGATCTTTGTGAGGGTGGGCCCCGCCCCCCCAGTTCAAGCCCCAGCCTGGCTCGACCCCAGAGTTCAGTAGGCCAGCTGTGACGAAGACAGCCCCTCCCCCGCTCTCCGCCCTCTACCCCCCTGCCTGCTCCAACATAATCCTCGCCATTGTGCCCGTTGCCCCCTCCCTCTGCTCCCCCTCTCTAGACCCCTGTACAATGGGGCCTTTGCAGCCTCCAGAATGGAGATGAACTCACGGTTTTTCCAAGTTTAAAAATAGCCCCTCCATCCCCCAGAAGGCCACCCTCCCTCTCTCCCAAGGTGTTGTGGGGTACACCTCCATCCCGGCTGTGCCTCCTTCCTCCTGCCCTGGGTCAGGTGCGAAGGACATGGGTGAGACAGCGTCCGGCGGGAGCAGGGCTGCTTCCCCCGATTCAGTCTCTTCCCCCACATCTCCCACAGGCCCCCCAGTACAGTATCCGGTTTCCTGCCCCCCCCCCCTTTTCCACCCTGTTTTCACTCCTTCAGTACAATCCTCTCCTACTCACACCCACATTCTGGAAAAATTCTCCACCTTCCCCCGCCTCCAAAGACCCAGACCGGATCCTATTATCTGGCCTGGCCAGGAGGTTCCCCAGTCTCCATAACTGCCAAGATTGTTGGGACTCCCCCACCCCATGTTCTCATAGCAGCTGCAAACACCTCTTTATCAGCTTCCTTCCTCGGCCCAGCCCACCCTTCTCACATCCTCACATCCTGGTCAAGGCCCCTGGATCCAGAAGGATGGGTTGGAAGTCATTAAGTTCCCTATGCTGGAGCTGAGAGAGGACACTTGGGTTCCAGTCTTGCCCCTTCCTGGCCTCTGGGGACAGGTCCATCCTTGTCTTTTTACCTCCAACTCCCCAGGGCTCTACTTCTCCTTACAATGAGCTGAAAGCTCCACCCACCCAGGAGACTGTGGCTGAGGAGCCCAACCAGGACCCCCCCCCCAACCCCACCTGGCCTCAATTTCTCCACCTGTGATCAGACCTATACCAGAGACATGCAGAGGGCATTATGCGCAGGAGGGTCCCTCACGTCTGAGGGGCCCAGGTCCACCATGGGGCTGGAGGAAAGCAGCCTTCTTGCCTGCAACCCAAGGAGGGAAAAAAGAATAAGAATTAGGACTCTGCCCCCAGGGCCTCTTCTGGCCCTGGCCTACATCTGAGCCAGGCTCTTCCAACCCAGTCCATGTGCTGGGGCCCTGCAGGGTGGAAGGCCATGGCCTCCTCCTCCAACTCCCTTCTGCTGGCTGTCAATCCTGTCCTGCTGGAAGTCCGGCAGCCACCTTCTCTCTCTTGCTGCTGCTGGAGTGCTAGCCTCCGGCCTCTAAGGGGAGCTGAGGGCTGATCCCCTTCACCTTCCGCTCCCCCCACCCTGCTCCCTGCCTCCATTCCTGAGTCCTCTCCGAGGTCCTGACCCCTCTTTAGTTTGGAATCCCAAAGTGCCCACCTCATGAAACCATCCTGAAGCTGTCTGTCCCCTGAGGCTATGACCCACTCCTGAGCAGCCTAGACAGCCCCAGGCTACTGGCTTCCTTAAAGGACAGTCTTCTGTGCTTGTTTGGTGGGGCCATGCAGGGGAAGGGACATCACCCTGGGCTCTAGGCTCTAACCTCATTTCCCTTTCACTGCAGAGAAAAATCCTCCACCCCCACCTGGCTTCACTCTCCTCCAGCGGAAGAAGAATTCAGAACTGACTGTCCTTGGTGGTTAGCTGGCTTTGTTTTCAGGCCAGAGAGGCGAATGATTAGTTAATGGTGTTAAGTGAAGGAAGGGGGTTGGGCAGGGAAGCCAGCTCCATGCCCAGCCGGGCCTGCCAGGGCAAATGGCATCCTTCAACCATTCCCACTCCAGCCCAGCAGACAAAATATTCTCATCTATTCAGCTCTGGGCCTGGGGCCAGTCCATAAATTCACTCCGGAGGGGGGGCCAGGGTCCTCCTCTTGTTCTCCCTGCAGGCTCCAGGCTCCAGGCCCCTGGCCCTGCGGGCCTGGGTTCTGCACGGCCTCTGGCTGGAGACTAATGGCCATGGAGGAGGGGTCGGCAAAGCTCTGAAAGACAAGGCTGGTGTGGTTTGCCAGTCATCTCTGCGTCATCAAAACGCCACCCCGAGCATGCTCTCAAGTCACCTGGCCATCTCTGGGGTTTGCCGGCTCACCCTCCACCTCCCCCAGCCAGCAGAGGGGTGGCCCCGCTGGGCAACACACCTCTACCCAAATCCAGGCCCCTATTTGGCACTCCCTGGTGAAGGCGCACCAGGAGATGTGGACCCCTTTTCTGAGGCCAGGCTGCTGGGGTCACAGTGAGGCAAGAGCCCCTCCCCCTCCCTAGAGCCTTAGTTCAAGAGGCCAGAAGACCCAGGGAGAAGTCTTTTTGGGAGAAGGGTAGCTGCAGAGCTCCCCACCCAAGCAGGGCTGATTTGATTCTTCCCTCAGCTATGGACCCACCATCAACAGGGCTGGGGAAGACGGCGTGGGGGTCAGTGCTGCCGGGATCCTTTCAATTATCAGGAACAGCAACAGGTTTGCAGGGTCAGGCTGGGGACCCCTCGCCCATTAACTCTTTCTTCTCCCTGTTTCTTTCTCTTAGGTGAGGGGAAACTGAGTCCCAGGGTAGGCTCCAGAGTGAAGAGGGAAGAAACATGATTCTCAAGGCCCAGGTCTGGACAAGTGTGAACACCTTGGGCCTGCGAATTCAGCCCCCTCCTTCCTTTCTCTGGTCAAAGGCTAGACTTGCAGCAGCTTGGGTTTGAAGGGACAGCCCAGAAGGCACCCTCTCCACTCCCCATACAGGTACCTCTGGTCTGTGGGACTGGCACAGGGTTCTTCTCCCAAAGCTGCCAGCACTGTGAGGCTGAGGCAGTGCCAGGCCGGTGGCAGCGACAGTGGTGCAATCGTTCTGGGAAGCGATCGAGGCCGGCCTGAATTCTCTGTGGCAGGGGAGGGGAGCCAATTGGGAGGCCCCTTGGGGACACCGAGGACCAGGTCCGCTACTGCTCCTCCCCCAGGAGGTCCCCCAGAGGCTACATTGGCTGGCAGGGGCTCAACAGGGGTGAGCCTGGCTGGCTTCGACCCGGGGCGACTCCGGGCATCCGGGACAGCTTCTCCTCGCTGCCACCTCGGTCAGTCAGACCCCTAGACACCTGTCACTACCCCCTCAGCCTTCCCAAGCCAGGAGCCTGGGAGTCCGGCTCCGGCCTACCTCCGGCTGCGCTCCTGGGCGCAGCTCCC